TTGAGACACACAGAGAGCTACAGAAGGCAGGATACATATACCTTTTCTAAGCAGGGGTCTCATATAGCCTAGGTTGCCCCCTGACACCCAGGGTGACTTTGAACTTCTAATCCATCTGCTTTCACTTCTCAGGTTCTGAGCTTACAGGTCTGCACCAATATATCTGGTCTATATAGTACTTGGGCATTTTTGCATGTTAGGCAAGTACTCTACCAACCAAACTCTATCCCCAGCCCCCACTCACTTCCTTTGACAAATATGTATTGAATGTTTGGAACTTTCTCTGTTGGCGCTGAGAATGGCAGTGAGAAAGATACATCATGCCTCCATTCTGGAAGAAAACCAGAAATAAAAAGGCCTTGCTTTTTATTAACAACCCAAACTTTTCACTAAGCATCATTTATTTTTCTGCCTTTGGATGACACTTTTATTTTTATTGTCACACTTATTTTCTAAATTATAGTTACACATGGGCATGTTCCAGGTGCTTGCCTTCGCTTGTTGGAAATATTGGAGTCCAAAAAGTACAAAATGTATTGTCTCACAGTTTGCAAGGGTGAGTCTATTAGCTAGACTGGTTCTCCATAGAAACAGAACCACTAGAAAAACATTCTGTACATTATCTATACATATACTATAGAATAAAAGTCCATATGTATGTATATAAATCTTTCATATAGAAGTCCAATATCTTGTGCATACATTGGAATTGGTTCTTGTAATTATGAATAACAAGACTCCTAAGATCTCGTACAGGCAAGCGACATACCTTACAACAGTGGTTCTCAACCTTTTTAATGCTACAACCCTTTAGCACCCTTCCTCATGTTGTAGTTACCCCCAACTGTAAAATTATTTCATTGCTACTTCTCAACTGTAGTTTTGCTACTGTTATGAATCGTAAATATCTGATATGCAGGATATCTGATATACCACCCCTGTGAAGGGTCACTTGACACTTTCATAGGTTGAGAATCTTAGAAGCCTTAGAAGCTGCTGGTGAGATTTAGTCTGAGTCCATAGGCCTGAGAATCGGATGAAGTTGTATGGATAATGGGGAACAGGATTGAGTGATTCTGGAGACGTAACTTCAAGAACCAGAAACTCCCATATGTGAGTCGAGAAGATGGAAATCCATGCCAGCAATGAGCAAACTGCCCTGTGCTCATCACCTCGTCTCTTTGCCTTCAGTGGGTTGCACCATGTTCCTTGAGTGAGTGGTTCTTCTTTATCTAGTCTACTGATTGCATCGCTACTCTCTCAGCATCCTCAGAGACTCAGCTCTATGGACATCCCATAGCCCAGGCAACTTGATACGGGTTTGCTATGAATAGGGTCTGGATGTATGAGCTGCAGGTGTGGATGGAGCTGGCTACCAAGGCAGCGAACAAGTACCTGCTCCAGGTTCTCACAGTCCTCTGACCGTCTCTTCTTTGATGTGTCTTGTTTTACAGGAGGCTGTCCCATCCCTTATTCACAATGTTAACCCTGAGAAAGTGTGCACCAGTGTCCTGGTTTCCCCATTTCCTACAGAGAACAGTCATAATACAGGAAGACTCAGTCTATTTTACTTTGAGTGCGTCTTTAATTCCACCTGCAATCACCCTCTTTGCAAAATGCTCATACTTTGAGCTACTCATAGCTGGACTTCACACAAATCTCTTCAGGGTTAGGGAGGACACAGATAAGTACACAGCAATATGGACTAAATGACTGTTGGGCATTTTACTTGTATCTTCTTGAAAGTCCTCCATTTGGAGGACTGTGTCTCTGTTTTATGTACACATGGCACCACCGATAGACTTTGCTGAGATGTCAAAACTGAAAAAGGCTCTGAGGTAGATTTGGATGTGAACCTCACCCATGATGGATGACCTGAGAGTGTTGGGAACTCTCTTCCTTCCTGAGGTTTTGCCCAGGTACGCTGTTTGTTTCACCAGAAACAGTGCACAGTGTTGAAAGGCACACTGTGCCCTTGCTTTTGATCAATAGGAACAGATGGGCCAAGGGTTGGGGATTGTACCCCATGTCTCCAGGAACACAAAGTCCCTCAGTATCCTGAGTTTTCCTAAGGGAAAGCTGAAAGAGGAAAGACACTCAACTTTTCACTCTCCTCTAGAAATAGAGAATCGGATTTATATAAAAATAACAAAGTTAAGCTGAGTCAGGAGGATCACAAATTTGAGAGAAGCCTGGACTAGGTTGTGAATTCCAGTGCAGCCTGGCTACAGAGTCAGTTAGACTACCTCAAAAGAAAAAAAAAAAAGGATGGAAAGAATGTGAAATCTATAATTAGAATGTGCCATCAGAAATTTAAACAACTTGCATTGTCTATTTTTTTTTCTTCTTTTTCCTTTTAATTATAAGCAACAACTTTTAAGCTTCCTTCAATTGTATCTGGGGGGAAAAAAAACTTCACAATGGGTTTGCATTGTTTCAGCCTCTAGACCACCCTGGCATCCACTGCCCTCTGTGGGTGATCAGAAGATGTCTGTCCACTGAGCGACAGTGAACAGCACATCACTGGCACAGACCCTAACAGTAAGGTCTTTCAAACAGGCTCAAAGTGGCCACCTTGCAGGGAGATAATCAGTCTTCCAGTGGCCACTGTGAGAGTAGAATGGCTTTAAGAGCCAGGCAGCTTTCTGGAGAGAATGGCATTAGCAGTTGAGAGGCAAAGCTCAGAGGAGCCAGCTTCATTCATTATTGAGCACTTATTACGCTTAGTCTCTGTGTGGGATTTCAAAGAAAGACATTCTGTAGCCTGGCGATCCAAGCTTCCAAGTAAGTTCCTAACACAGAGAGCATGGCAAGTGGCATAATCCACATAAAAACAAAATAAATACATTCATATTTGGAGATCTGAAGATGTGGAAGGCAATGGCGTATCCGACAGGCCTATAGATAAAACTGGAAATGCACTGTGTGTGGTCTGTTGCAAATCCTGATGTCAATGCCTCACGCCATCTCCCCAGCAACCATCACATTAGCCAACACATCAGGTCATGGGAGTGAAGGGGCACAGGTCAAAACTGAAAATAGGCACTGGTAGGTGTCGAGTGCACAGTTTGATGAGGGTGGGTTTTCCACCTACGCCCAGATAATCACAGGCAGTTTGCCTTTAGTCCTTTGTGCCAGGACAGCCAGAGTACCTCAGTACAGTTGCTTCCACTTGCTATGTGCTTCCAGCCTCCCCAGTGCAGACTCTTAATCCTTCATTCATAACTTTGCTCCCCCAACCAGGGCCTGGGGAGGTGTGAAAACATTTCTCTCAAAGCTCAGGCCTTCGGGCAAAACTATTTCTATCTTTCAGTGAGAGGCCGGAGCAACAAAGTGCTGTTGTTGGATTCTTCACTCTGTGCGCTTTCTTGAACAATGGCGTCTATACAGAACCCAGTGCAAACCCAGGCTCTAGGAGGCTGCGCGTGTCCCTGTTTTGTTTTGGCTTTTGCTTATTTGACATAGGTTCTCGCCATCTAGTCCAGGCTGGCCTTGAATTCACAGTCCTCATCCCTCAGCCCTCAGAATGCTGGGTTTACATGGATGAGCTACCACACTCAGCATGCAGTGTCTTTGGAGCGCATGTCTTTGATGATGAGAAACATTCAACACGGTAACTGGTGATGGTTTAGATGTAGGGGCTGGGGAGATAGCTTGGTCAGTCCTGTGCTTGTCCTGCAGGCCTGAAGACCCAAGTGTAAAACCAGCATCCATGTAAACATACAGGTGTGGTGCCTGTAATCCTAGCACTGGGGAAGTGGGGGTGACAGGAGGCCTCCTGGAGCTTGATGGCCAGCCAGCTTAGCTTAATTAGAGCAGCTCTAGAGCAGAGCAGTGTGGGTTTGGGATATGAGGTAGATAAAGAGAGCTGAACACCCCAGCCTTGACTTTTAGCATGTACACATACCACCCCACACACGTGTAAACACAAACATGCACATGCAGATGGGAACGTAGCAGCAGAAGGCAGATGGCACAGAGCTTTAAATCCTGCTTTCATTCTCTAAGGGAAAACCAGAAAAGTCAACTTAGCTAATGGAGGCTCTCCAGTCCCCTAGTCAAAGGGTGCCATCCACAGCTGCTTGGGCCCAAGTGCTTGGGCAGAAGTCTTAGTAGAGGGAGTGTGTGTGTGTAAGATTCCCCCAAGGGCCTTCTGTAGTTAGAGACCAACTATGCAAAACATATGCCTGTGGAGACATTTCATTCTAGCCATAACACATGCTCACAGGCCTCGTCCATGTCTGCACGTTTGATGCAGACTTAAGACATGAGCTTTCAGGAACTACGAGAGGGATTGCGAGATAATAGCGCACGGGGTTCCCATCCCGTGATGGATCTTAGGCTGTAAGAGAAAGTAACAGAATGCTGTGGCTGCTGTTTCATATGTATGCATGGGGTCCCAGCCTCAGGCCTGTACAGGGTGAGGACCCTTCTCCATACACCTGCATCATCAGATGTCAGGGTGAAAAGACGATTCTTGTTCTGTTGGCTCATGGTCTTCATGGTAAAGAACTCACAGACAGGATCATCATGCAGTTTCTGGCAAACCCAGAGACTTGCTCTAATTTTCATAGCCAGGCCCCAACCCAGGGTCCTCGATGCCCAGATGAGTGATATACCCACTTCTGACTGGTAGGGTAAGGGCGCTTCACGAATTTCTTTCTAGCTGTTGGTACTTGTTCTTCTAATACTGAAAGCAGGCGTCCACCTTCAGGTGGCCTCGTTGCAGCCTTGCTTTCCTCCAGGGCTTTTCAGTCAGTGAGCTGACCTGGCCCCTCTGGCATTGCTTTAAGGGGCCGCCTGCCTGGTCCTGGTGCATGGCGCCTCTTGACGGCAGGGGGCGCCAGAGTGCAAACTGGCTCTGCCTCCTGCGCCCGCGCTTAGTGCGCGCTTGCGCCCCGCCGACCCCGCGCGCAGTTCTCGGGGCGCAGGGCGGGGAGGCATAAAGGGCGCTGCGCTGCGGGGCGGGCCGCGCGCGGGAGGCTGACGGGGCAGCGGCACCCGCGAGCGGGTACCGGGCGGGGCCATCGCAGCCGCGCGCAACGAGGCCGAGCGGGAGCCCGGACCGCGCGGGACCAGGTGGGTGACGCGCGCGTCCCCTTTGTGTCGGCATCGCTCGAGCGGGCCGCGCGGGACAAGGCTCTGCGGAGCTGCTTTCTGGTCCCCGACCTCTGCTGTCGGGCAGTGACTCGCGGGCTCCGGGGCGGGGATGAGGACTCTGCTCTGGCTGTCCGCTAGGGTGACGGCTGCGTCCCCTTGGCCGCTCGCACTTGGGGATCGCGCGCCACGGGGAAGTCTCCCGCCGCAGGCGCGGGGTGCGCTGGGCTGGAGTGGCTCGGTGGGCGGCAGTCTGCAGGCCTTGGGTGGACTCCCGCCGCGACCTGGACGTGGGCAGAGCGAGGGCGTGGGGGAAGTCGGGTCTCTTCTGGCCAGCAGCAGTCGCGAGTGCTTTAGCTGCGCCTGGCTGTGGGCATCGTCCTCTCTTGGCCTCTGGCCCCTGAGTCTCCATGTCCCCTGCGCACTGCCCGCCCGAGGAAGTCCCTCAGGTCTCACGCATCCCGTGCTCCGCAGCGCTCCCGGTTTTCTGTGGAGCTCAGAGATTAAATCATTTAATCGTTTCTGCTAACAGGAAGCTTCCTGGCTATTGGGCGGGAAGAGGCGACTTTTTCACCCTAGGGGGTCTCTGGAGGTCGTACCTAAAGTTTGTTCTAGCTCTTGTTTGGTCTCGTTTTCAGAGAATGTTTAAAAGGATGCTTATTTTGAACAGTTATCTACAGCCTGCGTGGTGCAGGGTTCGAAGGCCAGGTGGGCAACAGGAGAGCTAGACAAGGCCCTGAGAACCCTTCACAGAGTTCCTGTGTCCTAGGGTGGAAGGACAGTCCAATCTTGCTTAGGACAGTTTTAGGAAGGAAGTGCCTTCCAGGAGTGGTGTCTGGGAAACTGAATAGACCCTTCTCCATGACCCTGGCCAGGGTGGTAGTTTAGACTGCTAAGAGAAGTGTATACATAGGAGACCAGATGAAAGACAAGGTGGTCAGGGTGCCCTAGGATGGGGGAGGGGCTTTCTAAAGGAGGGATATGGAGTCAGATGACCCGTCGGGCTCAGGCAGGGTGGGGGAAAGCACCAGCAAAAGAATGCAGAATAAGGAACGTTCCATGGGGTTGCCCCCTTGGCTCCCAGGGAACTAAAAGTTTTGCTCACTATGTCCTCCTCATCAGTGCTACCAGGGGTCTGCAGTACTTTTTCTAGTGTCTTGCACGGTTTTGCTTTTACTACATTTTAAAGACTGCTTGGGAATTATGTCTAGAGGGGATTTATACTTGCCTTTTGTGGGGGAACCATGGGTAGTCTTATGGGAAGACAACAGACAGGACCCACCCTGCCTCTGAGTGGCTCTAGCAGTGTTGAAGAGGAAGGCCTGAGGCTGGGTGCTCACTGTAGTCTTTTAAGTCAGACACTAGCTACCCTTTGCTACATACACCTATTTCACTTGCCTGGGTTCCCTGTGAACCTCCTAAGAAAATGGGCATGCATAGCTCAGCTGCAGTAGGAGGGAAATTTTCTGGACCCAATACACTTGGAATTGTGGAGTTAACATTTTGATATGAATACTCTTCTTTAGTTTCCATCTAGTGAGTTTTTGTAGGCCTTCTAGCTCAGGCTGTTCTGGAACTCCCTACGTGGCTGAAGATGACCTTGGGCTGCTCCAGTTTGCACCAGTGGAAAACTGGTGTTAATGGGATGGGCCACGATAATCAGTTTATGTAGAACTGAAGTTCAAATCCATGGCCTTAGGATTGTGGATGCTAGGCAAATACTCTAACTGAGCTACATCTCCAGTCCCTGGAGTCCATTTTTCTAAAGATGTTCCAGTTCTCATGTCGATGCCTCTCACCCCAATCATGGGGAATGACTGAAGGATAAACTCAAACGGATGAGGCAGGAATCCACAAGCCACAAATCAGTGGAGGCTCTGGACAGTTGTGTGTATATGTTTTGCAAGCATCTTTCAAAACTCTGTTTGTAAGCTTGTGGTGCTTGTTTCCAGACTGTTCCTAGACTGCGTGGCTTCTCCTGGGGCCGAGTTGTGGCTTGGGACTTGGAAAAGATAGCACGCCTTGTTTTACCAAAGCTGCCTGTGTTCAGGGCTAATATGCCCTCGTCCTGCTTGCAGCCATAAGGCCCCAAGCCAGGAGCCACGTTGCCTGACTGAGAATGCTGTTTTTTCCACTGTGGTTCTAACTTGGCCTTACTGCCTTCTTTTGTTCAGACATCTCCTGGAGGCCTCTGTAGTGGCAGAGGGAGCTGGTGGAAGCCTGTTCTGAGCTACCGAGAGTCGTGGGTACAGATGGGTCCTCAGTCCTCCTGTATGGCCATGAGGGCACTGTGTCTGGAGAGGAGCCATCAGGTGCCCCGGCTACATGGGACAGTGGTAGATCTGGCCTGGAATTAGCTCTTCTGAGTGTCTATGGTCCTTTCCTTCTTCTCTTCTTGGAACAGGGCAGGGATGTATTTGCTTTCTGGAGAGCCCATGCTCTTCAGCTGTTTGGGAAGATGCTCATTTGAGCTGGCGCCCCTCCCTGCCTGGGATGTTTCCGTACTGAGGACGGTTTAGAGGCTGTGTGGAGTGGACTCTTCTTGGGAAGGTGGGCTGTCACGTTTCTCCTGGATCTTTGTGGAAGGTACCCTTCATTCCTTCTCAGCTGGAGAAGCTATCTGAGGCTAGCCTCATTCTTTTGTTTTTCAGTTGCTGATGCACATGAATACTTTTTCTTAATTAGCTGGAGAAATTAATTGAAGCCACTGTTCACGCGTCTGCAGGGCATTTGTTCCCAGCGGTGCTCCCGCCCAGCTGTCTGACCTTGGCGAGTGGCTGCCTGCCTGGATGGCTCCAGCTCCCTCGGGGTAGCCCAAAAATGTTGTCCCAGATGTTCTCCTAGGTCCAGGAGCAAAGCTGCCGTGAACCAGTAGTATTTCTAGAAGATTTCTAGAAGAATCAGTACTATAGAATGACCTCCAGATGCAGTGTAGACTCTTACAAGGAAAAGGTGTACCTTCATTCTGAAGGCTGGCCGTTCTCCAAGGCTGCCTGGTGAGAAGTAAGCTTTGTAGAGGTTCTTGAAGCCTCACAGCTGATACTTCACTAGCTGTGAAAGCTAAAAGGGCCTCTTACTTGTTCAGCTGAACTGTGGAAGGCTTGCTCAAGCTGTGCTTCCCCTTTGGCAGTGGAATATTAGACATTCTGTATACCAGATATTTACATTACAATGAGTAACAGTAGCAAAATTATCGTTTCAAAGTAGCAGTGAAAATGACTTTTATGGATAGGGGTCAGCACAACGTGAACTGTGTTAGAGGGTTGCAGCATTAGGAAGGTTGAGAACCGCTGCTCTAGAGTGTGATTTTGTAGGCTGGTTGCAGCGTTATAGGGAAGAGTCAGCTTCCTGCCGGCTTGAACTCACGTGCCACACCTTTTATTGTATGCTATGTGTCTGATGCTGGAAGTGGAGGAGACAGGAGTAATGTCCATAAGCTTTGGTCATGGGCAAGTGCTGCGTAACATATGGACCACAGATGCAGCTCTCATAGCCACAGTACAGGTGTATGGTCTACTTCCATCTGATGGGGGCAGTCCGAGGCCTCATGCTGGGCTTTGACCTCAGAGGCCTGCAGAAAATGAATGTGTGACCTTGATCTACAGTGTGGAGGGCTGGAAGCAAAGACAATAGCAGGTTGATTTTGAGGGGTCTACAGTATTGGAAATGTGCAGAGTGCGCTGGGCGCCATGCTTGAAGGAACTGGCAGGTTGTTAACCTGGGAGATCAGGAGTACAATATCAAAATCAGGACCTGAAATAGCAAGAAACAACTTGAGCTGGACAAGAACGTAGAAGAAACACAGAGGCTTTGAGCTCCCCTGGTCGACATTGGCATGCCAAAAGCTGTCCAATCCAGGCCCCTCAGTTGTCACACAGTGCTTTCATTTCTGGTATCATCTGGAAAGTTCCTCAGCATATTTTCATTGTCATTTTCTCCTGCCCCCTTGGCTTATGATAGAGGTCAGTGTTCAGGGCAGTTTAATGAGAGCAATACAGCGGTGTGGTTGTCACAGCCAAGAGGCATCACTCCAGAGTGGCCTGGGGAGGCTTCCTTGGACTCTGGCAGTTCCTGTGATGTTGGGAACATCCCAGCAAGCCTAATGTGGTAAGCTGTGGTAGCACTGGCTTTGGGGTCTTCTTCTTGGACCTACTCTGCTTTCCGACAGTGGTGGGTGTATTAGTTATTTTCTGCTCCTGCGTTAAAACGCCAAGGCTGAGGCAGCTTAAGAAAGAGAGTTAATTTTAGTTTATGGTTCCACAGGAGTTAAGAGTCCACGATACAGATTAGCAAGTGGCAGGCTTGATGGCCAGAGCAGGAAGATAAGAGCTCCCATCCTCAACTCCAAGCAGGAAACAGAGAAGGTGAAATGAAGGTGTTATGAAGCTTTAAATTACCAAAGCTTCTTCTAGTGACACGCTTTCACAACCACCCCAAACAGCTCCACCGACTGGTGACCAATTGCTCAAATTCCTGAGCCTATGGAGGATGTTCTCATTCAAAGCACTAACAGGGGATAGTTAGGAAAGGTCTCAGTCTGGCATGAATGGGGCTGGCTACTCAGATGGACTGTTGGTAGCTGACCAAAGACTAAGCATTTCATATAATGCTGTGCTTCTGGGAGAATGTATCAAGATTTCAAAGAACCAGTTTTCATGTAATCTCTGGGTCAGGACATGCTTGGGTTTGGGCAGCAGCAGGGTGTTGGTTGGTGGGTCTAGAGGAAGGAACTATGTGATACATTGAACAAGGACCTCCTGGACACACAACCCTTCTCAGAATGAAGATCTGTTACTTAGCCAGTGGCCTGAGTTGCTCACACATTCTGTACACACACACACACACACACACACACACACACACACAGGCACACACACACACTTATCCATCATGGGCTCCCTGCACCTCCAAGTAAAGGTGTTTTCCTTTCTGGAATCAACCACTGAATTTCTATATCATCCCCTGAGCCCCATGTTTACCCT